GGAGGGGGAGGAAGGGTCGGCCCCGCCCACTCCGGCCGCCCGACGGAGAAGGCGCGAGGGAGCCGCTGCGAGGAGGGCGTGGCTTCGCGGGAAAGCGGGACGGCTGAATGGACAGCGGGCCAGGCGGGGGCGGGGCCTCGTCCCCCGAATCGCTCCGTCGACGCCTCTCCCTCAGTTGCTGAGGAGCCGCCGAGGAGGCCGGAAATAGCCGCGTTTGGTCCCCTTCCTCTCCCCCCACAGGTGGGTCCTCCCCCCCCGTCCTCAAGGGTCTTTTTGGGGCGGCTTCGCCCCCTTTGTTCCTTTGCGGCGGTGGGTCTTAGTATTGGGGGGGGCAGAGCCCCTGGCCCCGCTCCTCCGGCCCCCTCCCTTTAACTTTTAACACCCCCCCTCCCCCATGTCCACCTGCCCTCCAGTGTGAGGCGTTCTTTTCTCGCCCTGTCTGCACGCAGATCTCGCTTTCTGCGCACGCTTGTTTCCCCTTCCTCCCTTTTGTCCTCTCAACAGCCCTGCGAGGTAGGCCAGTCTCTGTGGAACTCATGTTGGCGGATGTGAGTGCCCCCCCATTCAGTGCTCCCTCTAAGCTGCGGGGTCCTGTGAGCAAAAATTCTACTTTGTGAGCTCCTGGCATGAACGTTGTGAGCCAGCGATGGGGCTCCTGCGTAAGTTAGCTTGCTCTGGAGCCCTCCTTCCTGAGCTAAAAAACTGAGCTGGTTCACACTAACTCAGCTTAGAGGGAACACTGCCCCCATTGAATTTTCACAACATCCCCCCCCCCGCGAGGTAGGTCAGTCTCAGGGGAGCTCATGGTCACATTTCATTTTCACAACACCCCCCTTGTGAGGTAGGCTAGGGGGGGAGAGAGGAGGACTCCTCCAAGTGAGTCTCACACAGCCCTGTCAAGTAACTGAGGCTAAGAAAGACTGGGTCTAGAGATTTAAAATTCCCAGAAATTTTGAAGCTCGGGGGGGAAAACCCATTTTTCCCCCCAGTTTTTTTAGGTAAAAAATGGAAATTTTCAGAAAAATTGAAAAAAATGCTACATTTTCTAGATTTAAAGTCATTCTGTTACTTTAGGAACATAAAATATGACTATGGACATTTTTACTTGGCATGAAATTATCACAACTAGCATATTAAAAATATAGTGTATCCAAACAATTATTACAAACAGAATACCCACCCACAGGCAAAAACAAAACTGAAACCTTTTAATTTTATTCTGACAATAGCACCACCTAAAGGAAGAAATGCATCTTGTTCTTGCATTGGAGAGTTCAGTTTGTAACCTAGGACTTGCTTGTCCTCAGTGCACAGAAATTAGATCAATCTGATACCATATATATATGGTAAATATTTGAACACCTTGTCTTAAAATATTTTATTCATCATGTTAAAATAAAACGTTTCATAATCAATTTTTTTCCTTTCCTTTTCTTTTTTCAATTTTTTGGGAAAAAACAAAAAAGGCTTCTGGAAAAAACCAATTCCCACCCCCCATTTTCTTCCCGGTTTTTTTCCGGGCCTTCACATCTCTAACTGGGACCAAGGTCACCCCCCCAATAGCTGGATGGGGTTTGCCTTTGGCATGGCATTCCCCCACCTGACCACAAGTGAATGGTTCCCCCCACAGTTACTTGAATAACTTCCCCACCTTTAAGGCCAACAAAGGGTGTCTCGCTTCTGCGTACATTCGTTTCTCCCATTCCTCCCTTTAATCTGCTCAACCGCCCCGCGAGGTAGGTCAAGTTGCTGAGGAGGTCGTGGTGACAGGTGAAAGCCCCTCTCATTTAAAAGGTGCCACTGGACTGGAGCTTTGTTCTGCTGCTTCAGACCGACATGGCTACCCACCTGAATCTATTTCCCCCACATTAATATCTTAGAGGTGCTTTGCTGGATCAGACCAGTGGTCCATCTAAGTCCAGTGTCCTGTCTCACGTGGCGACTGACTAGTTGCCCTGGAAGGCCAAGAGGCAGGGCAGAGAGGCCAAAGCATCCCCCTGCTATTGCTTCCTAAGTATTAGCATTCAGAGTTTGACTGCCTCTGGATGTGGAGGTTCTCCTTCCGTTTGTCCTCTTATTTATTTAAAATGTTCATTAACTGCTTTCTGGAACTTAAGTTGGCTTATAATATAAACAGGAAACACCCCCCCCCCAATAGATTTACATTAAAAACATGGATTAAAATCACACTTTACAACTGCCGCAAGTAGAAAAAGTAAAATAATTAAATGCTGGTTGATGCTGGGTTGCTGTGTCCCAGGGCCTTTAGCCAGAAGTTTCAGCCTTCTCCTTTAAAGAGAAGGAGTAAAATGTCAGAGCTAGGAACGGAGGGTTCAGCTGCTTTCTGTTTGGTTTGATGAGAGCTTGCATCTGTTGCTGTGTCCTGCTGCCTGTTGGGAAAGCAGGCAGGGGTCACTGACTGTTCTGGACTGGACTCCTTCCCCATCAGGTGCACCTACGCAGCTAGGGTATTTTCTGGTTTGGTGTAGTGGTCAGGCGCGCGGGCTGTAATCTGGGAGAGCCGGGTTTGAGTCCCAACTCCTCCACATGCAACTGCTGGGGTGACCTTGGGTCACTCACAAGTTCTTTCGGAGCTGTTCTCTCACGAGCAGTTTCTGTCAGAGCTCTCTCAGTCCCACCTACCTCACAGGATGTCTGTTGTGGGGAGGGGAAGAGAAAGGAGATTGTAAGTTGCTCAGACTCCCTTGGGCAGGGTATAAATCTAAACTCTTCTTCTTCTCTCTTCCCCCCCCTTCCTGTTTTGCATGGGGTCACGCTCCCCCTAAAGGAGCAGGTACATAGGTTGGAGGTGTGCCTGTACTTGGGCCTTCTGTTGACAAACAGGTGGGACCAGGGGCCACCGGATTTGGCTGGTGAGCCAGCTGCAGCCCTTCCTGGAGGGGAGGGATCTTGACACTGGTGACATACCTTTGGTAACATCTACATTAGATTACTGCAGTTTGCTCTATATGGGGCTGCCCTTGAAGACTGCCCGGAAGCTACAGTTGGTACCGAATGCTGTGGCAAGAATATTGACTGCTATGGGTTGTAGAGACCGCGTCACTCCAGTCTTGTTCCACTTACACTGGGTCCTAGTTCGTTTCCAGGCCCAGTTCAAGGTGCTGGTATTGCCCTTCGAAGCCCCATACAGCTTGGGCCAGCCTACCGTAAGGACTGCCTTCTCCCACGTGAATCTGCTCGTCCACCCCAGTCGTCTTTGGAAGTCTTGCTTTGGGTGCCCTTGACACCTTCTTGGTTGTGGTGCCAAAATGTTGGAACTTCCTCCCAAGGAGGTTGTGCCATCTGAAGACTTCTTTGTTTTGCTTGGTATGCTGACAGTAACTTATTGAACTTCCTTCCTGGTTTGAGGTGTTACTTGTGTTTATAAGTTTTAGTTGAATGTTTTTACTGTTGAAATGTTGAAATGTTTGCCACCTTGGAGGACCCTATTTGGGTGCAAGGTGGCACAGAAATATTTTAAATAAATAAATATCTGCCTAAATACCATTATTTAACTCATGAGCTCTACATCTTGGGGTCTCACCATAGGTTAGCGGCTGTTCCAGAGGCAGGTCTGGTTCTTTAAGTAATACTTACATAGTGGCAAAGGAATACTTACTAGGAGTAGTCTGAAGTTGAAATATTTCATCCTTTAATTAGGATGCCTTTGACTTAGCAAAACAGGTGGGTTTTCCTCCCCCCTCCAGGGTTTGATTTGGAGTCTCACTGAAATCAGTGGCTTTAGATGTGCTTAACTCTGCCTAGGATTTGGCAGTTTTCATCGATTCGGGCATTTTATGTATTAGCTTAAACCTGGCCGACCCCTCTCCCCTCTCTTCCTCAGATTAATAAAGGATCCACCCTTCCCTTACAATTTGGCAATGTTTATCTCACCGTGTTGTACCAGTTAAGCTGTCTGTTGTATTTTATGAATTTTAAAGGAACACAATTCATGTATTTTGGCCTAGGAAACTTCCTTTCTGTTCTTATGAAGCTTCCTGCCCATTACATTTCACATACTGTCATTAAAGAAGTAAACTAAGATCGTGTCTGCAGAACAGATTGCTTTCTTGTAGTTGTTATTAGATCATTAAATCCCTGCATGTCTCCACGGGTTGGGGATTGTCTCCTTGCAAGTTGGGTGGTAAACTCAGAGCAGTGGCTTGTGCATAAAAATCCCTTGGCTATCAGAAGTTTGGGCAATACTGGCCTAAAGCACCCACAGTTGTTATATTGATCCTTGAGATCCAGATTACTGCCAAAGCAAAGGCGAGATATAGAGTGCACAGTCTGTAGCAGTCTCTGAAAGAAAACTTTGTTTTTGCTCTTTCTTTCTTTTTGAATGGGGGCCTGCAACATTCAAGTTTCAGATGCTTCCTCGCTGATGAATAAACCACTACCACAGTTGCTTGCCAGATGCTTCCGGTCTGCTTTTGCCTGAGATGTGTTAAGTTAAAAATTTAGCACACGCTATAATGCATACAATGGGTGGTGGTGGTGGTGGTGGGGGTGGTGGTGGTGGTGGTGGTGGTGTGTGTGTGTGTGTGTGTGTGTGTGTGAACCCTCTATAGTTGCCTGTGGACACAAAAGTGGGAATCGTGGCCTGGCTGGGAATGGTTGATGCGGACTGCTAGCTGCTTTGCAGGGGAACCTTCTGCAGATTGCTAAACGTGTGACTAGATCGGACAAAGATGTTGGCTCAACGTATACCAAAAGCAGCTGGAGAAATAAATCTGTGTCCGTGATGTATTCTTGCAGCCTGGAGGCACTCCGAATGGCTGTGTATGTACAAAATGAGTGTACTTCCTTGGTTTGTCTGAACAGGGCCGGTATGGCAAATGGCAGTGTTATAGGAACGAATGAGCACTCTGTGCCTTGTGTTCCACTGAGCTGCAGGTATTTCACCCACACATGAGGTTTAAACCTGGAAAGACTGTTGGGAGCACGTGCACAGCCACTGATGAGCGTTGCAGAAATCTCTTTCTAGAGGCAGAGACAAAAATTAGTTGTGCTTGCTGCGCTGCAGAGCCCGGCTTTTGTGGGCTTGGAGTCTGGCAGAAATTAAGAGTTCATTCCGCAGCCTGCACAGTTCAACAGTCACTCTCTGCCCCTCGGCCTAGCAGTGGTGAGGTTACAAGCATTTTGGTTTTGGAATGAGTCATGAGTCACTGGCGCTCACTCCTCGTCTAATGTTAAATGTTTTGCAAAGCAACAGCTGAAGCCGGAGGCAGGAGGGCCTC